ACTAGAGGGAAAATACATACATGCTATGGAAATTATTGAGACAACTGACAGGACTGAAAAATGGACTGTAGATTAACTGTAGGGTACTTACAGAAGAGACTACCCTTGTTCTTAGAGGACAGAGGGCAGTATTAAGGAGTAAAGGAGAATGACATTGCAGCTTACCTTCAAAAGACTGAAAAGTTATGCCTGTATATTAATATATACATATATGTAAAATATGCATGTGTGTACATATAAAGATTTTTTTTAATGATGTTAAAAATTGGTGAATCTAAAATAAAAGATTAAAAGTTCTCCACTGGGCCAGCAGGTGGCATGAAAGTTAAGGTGCTGGATCCCATGTGGCCAACTTTATGCTTGAATCTTGAACCTAGTGACTTGAAAATCATGCTGGGCATATGTGAGTGCATGCCCCAAACCCTGAGAATAGAGAAGGGACTGAGGTGTGAGCATCCCCCAGGGTGGGGGAGGGGTGATTTCCCACATGCCTTCTCTGTCTCTATCTCTCTCTGGCAAGTGCACAAGCCCTATGGCAAAAGTCTTAAAAAAAAAGTTCTCTATAATTCTTGCAAACTTTCTATAAGGTAGGTATTACTTCAAAATTGTTTTAAAAACATGATCTGGAGCTTAGAGCACTATTAAAACTCAGAAATTAATGTTGGGGTAAGAAACCATTGGGTTTCAGGTAAGACTAGCTGATTTGTTTACTATATGGTAAACATTTTAATTAATGTAAAATGAGTCCGTGCATTTCACAGGTCATTACTTCTAGACCATGGAAGGGCCAAAAGAAATGCAGTTGTGCCTTCTGAACCATTAAGCCAAGTTTTTGTGCATCTAGGACAACTTGCTCCAAGTCAGACACTCTACAATCCATGCAAATGCACTAATGGGAAGACTGGAGGTATGCTTCTCAGCTTATTGTGCAAAACATGCTGATTTTTAAGTAAAATACAACATGAAACCCTTGATAATTAATCAGTTCTGGTTATTTGGCACATGAGTCATCCTGAGAGGCCAGAAAAAAGTGTGGTGTGGGCCAACCAGCCTCATATCCATCACACTTCTTTCACTAATCAACTATGATGTGCAATCACCAGCTAAGAACTGTCAAAAAGAATCACTTTACCATTTCTGATGTCAAGGTGCCACTGAATAAATATCCTTTCATTTGACCCAAACTGAGCAAAACTATTTAAATCACATAGTGGAAAGCAGTGTAGTTACCCCTCAGAATAGGCAATGATGCAATTAACAGGCTGACAAAGGAGACAGAAACATCAGGAAGTCAAGATTAGTATCAAGGTGAACATATACCTTGACATGGAAACTAAAATAACTGACTATATTATTAGAGGTTGTAATTCAACAAAATTTTGTGCATATTTCATGCTAACAAAATAACTACAGAAACATGTACCTAACTGTTGTTGACAGGTTATGTCGAGGAAAAGATTACAGCAAGTTCATGTTTCAATGTGTGAATCTTGAAGAATAAATGCGCATTGCTTTTACAACTTCAAGAAGACTTAAAATCTGATCTAGAGATCTGTCATAAAGGTATACAAGTATGCACGGCAATAACGAGCTATGTGAACTAGCTTTATAAAGATCGAAATTCTAGTATTTTCAGAGCTAATATGCAGTTTGAAATAAGTAAATAATGAAATGTGGACATTTTCCATTCAAGAAAATAAAGGCTTTTTGGACCTGTAAAACCATATCTTTATTATGAAAAACTTTTATAATAATCTCTGTGGTGGTTAGCTTTAAAGAGCCAACGAATACTCTTGAGTTAAATGTACAGCACATACAAAAAGAACATCAGATTTCTTTGGGGGCAAGTTGCTTTTAAGTATTGTGTATTTCCAGAGAAAAATTTTACATTTGGAGACCTTTTTTACTCAATTTTTTCTAACAAAGGACTTCTCCTTACTAAGACATAAAACATTTTCTTTCTTTTTGAACTTTTGTATGTAAAATTCATCAAACTGGCAATTTCCATAGTAACAGGCTGAGCCAGGTAAAATATGTAAAGTAATTAATATATAAGATCAGAAGGCCAAGTGTAGTATTACTGCATAGGTTTGAATGTGACTGCCTAGGTTCTAAATTTATTGCAAAACTACACAACTACTTACTAAGATTTGTAGTTGCATCATCCGAACTGCATCTAGTGGTGGAAGCACCACCTTGTGGTATAAGTAAGCACTTTACAGAAGTCAGGATGGTTACCCAGAGAGGACAGATCACTTAGTGGGCTTCCAGGGCACTAGAAGTATTCTATTTCCAGACCTGTATAGTGATTCCTTGAGTGCTCACTTTATAATTATTTGCTGAACTGTATAACTTTTCTGTATTTATTGTACATCACAATTTTAAAAGTTTAGAGGGGAAAAAAATATATATGTATCAGAATTAAAGGCCACATATCTAAATGCTCAAATTTTCTAAGTACCAATGACATTTTGTAGAATTATCTAAAACTACAACACATTCTTAACCTTGTAAATGTACTGTTGTACTTCTAATGATAGGAAACAAAACATCAGAAGAGATTTGTTCTCTGGTAAATCTAGAAGGATGGCCTATATATGTCTTCACTGCTGCTCTCTCACCACCTCCAAGAGCAACTGCATGTGCTTGGATTCATCGAGAAGGCTGTTATACACCTACACCCACAGGTCTGGAAACTGTCAAGACAACAATAGATTCTGCAGCATCAATATAGAATATCAAGGAGATACACCATATTTAACTATGCAACCATATTCATTCAACTAAAAAGATTTTTCCCTTCACATTTTGTTTACTAATTTCTAGAGCTTGATACACATTAACTATTCACAAAATAACCTGAATGAGTGGAAGAGGTTTTCACCCCATGTGTCTACCATAGGAATCCCTTTCCCTAGCAGCTCGCTCTGTCATATTCCGTTTCTCTTTTCATACCCTAGAGCAATTTTTTTTTAAGGGAGAAAGTCTTGTTCCTTTTTTTCTTGGAGCCTGTCAGGATACTTCAGTGACCACCTCCTCACCACCCGTTCACCCAGGCACATCCAACTGGTAGATAAGAAGAGTCCTTAGTTGCTGCTGCCGAGTAGCTCAGTCCAGGACAACAAGCCGCATGTGGGGCGCCGCCACCGCATCGCCAGAGACCACCTCCTCTGCTTCTATTCATCATGGGGAGCAGTTTGTACCCTCTGATCTAATCTCTGCTTCATTCAAATACTGGGAATATCGGATTTAAAGTGCAATAAAGATGTGGGCAGCTTGGCCTGAAAATACTTCACAGCTCATGCCTTCCACTGAGTTTATGCTACCTGCTAATGTAACCCCTATGCACAAGATAGGTATAGAAAATACTTTAACAAACCCATTTGAATGCTATATTGCAATTTTTGACTCAGACCACTTCAAAGATGCTGTCACATACAGGCAGCCGCTATCCAAATATTCTGTCCCTTATTGTTGACACATTCCAGGTATGACTATTCCAATGGTTGTAAATATGCTTAGTAAAACATCTGCTCTACCCAGGAAGAAATGTCAGGCTGTTGAGCTGCCAAGATCTAAAACTTCTTTAAGGAGCCTATATAAATAGAGTAAAAGAAAGAATACTTTCAGGGGTCTTTTTACAGAATGTCAAAGAATAGAATGGGATTATTTAGCATAAGTATGAAAAGGTCAAATTCTCATTTTTCCCCTTAAAACAAGTAAGATAATATAAACTTAATCGGTGCTACAAAGATTCTTGAAATTGTCCATTCACAAATGTTTCATAGGAATCAAAGTAAAGATAAAAAATTATTAATGAAAGGCATCAATATTCCACAGAAGTTGTATTTCAATATTAATATTTTAACACAACCACAAGGGTCAATTGATCCCCCCCACCTAAAAAAGTTCTTCAATATTTTCAAGATATAGATTAAAATATGTTTAAACTTTTCCATCTAGAAACAGTTGAGAGAGGCTAGCATTAGTGACAGAGAATAATAGAGAAAATTACTACCATTCAATGGGAACACATTCTTTTGAAATCTCTGCTACAAGTGGAAAAACAACTCAATAATTCAAACTTCTTTTTTTTTTAATTTGCTGTAAGGTACACACCGAGAAAGGGAGAGAGAGCTGAGGAAAGTATGAAACACCCCCCAGGCAGATGACCACACTGCAATCCCTTCTTCTCTCATGATTTAGGCACCCACACACATGTGCCATAGAGAAAATTACTACCATTCAATGGGAACACATTCTTTTGAAATCTCTGCTACAAGTGGAAAAACAACTCAATAATTCAAACTTCTTTTTTTTTTTTAATTTGCTGTAAGGTACACACCGAGAAAGGGAGAGAGAGCTGAGGAAAGTATGAAACACCCCCCAGGCAGATGACCACACTGCAATCCCTTCTTCTCTCATGATTTAGGCACCCACACACATGTGCCTGTCATGTTTTTCAAGTCGTCAGATCCAGGACTTGAATTGCACAGTCGGCCAAGTGGGATCTAGTTCCCTTAACCACCACACTACTAGCTGGCCTCAGACAGTTCTATTTTTGTAATAAAACTTTGTATCTAATTTTTCAAGCTATATGGTAGTTCTAATCATTCAAAGTCTTAGTGGCTACACTATAACATTAGGGAAAAACATACTTAGTGTGCTTAGGCATAGTTTTACAAATTGTTTTACTATCAGAAGTCCAGAATCTCTAAGAAATTATTAAAATTATGAAGAGGTTAAATCTTACTAACTCTTTC